TAACAGCCGTCTCCCAGCAATTCGTGAAAAATGAAACACCGCCTACTGTTCAACAACCTCATCAGCGTATAAAGACATAGTTTCATAATTTAATGCGGCATTATAGGAGTAATTTTCCATTACTGGTCGAGAAAAGTAGACAAGCAATGTTTAATACGTGTTTTTTATTTATTTTACATAACCCGAGATTCACTTAGCGGATCCCAGCACCACTTGCATTCGATTTGTTTTCTCCTATCCACCATCTACGAAGCTCTTCGCACTTTTTTCCGCATGCGAGTTTAGCTGTTGAATGAGGATTTTCGTCTTTGTTATGAATATGGTCGAATGCTGGGCATGTCGACTCTCTTTGAAATGTTGGAATAATCAAGTCAAGGCGTTCCCACATAGACTGGGCGAGCAAGTTGGGCACAGACAAGTTTGGTTCCATTTTCCTGAACACTACACTGTCTATGAGGTTTTTTTAAATGCAGGAAAGTTTTCTTTCAAAGCGAAACTAAAAATGAATATTCAATGTTGTGTTGTTCTATTTCACCAGGCCAATAGTTTGCAGGGCAATGACGACTTCATAGGCGAAACTTCCAGCTTAGTGAAAGCAGCCAGAAGGAATTCATCACCTAAGTCTCCCAAAATCTCGAAGGTCTTTGATGGATGAGAGTCGCGAATGTCCAAAACACATCTTAGTAGATCTTTTCATATCAATTGTTTTCAAAACGGCGTCTAGCATCAGCTGTGAACAATCTTCTTTCGCAAATGTTATATTGCAAAGCATAGGGAAAGCGAAAATTTAAAATACTTATATATGCGTGCTCATCCTACGTTATATGCCAATTTGTGCTAAGATGTATATTGACCAGTGTGCTTAACAGTAACGTAACCAGTCGGTGGGGGTGATTTAAACGACGGGACACTGTGAGAAACGCACTAACAAATACTTTCTTCCTTGACTTTAGTGTCATCCACAGAGAAAATTTGAAGAAAATCAACTGACATTCTCAAATCACTCATCAGGAGCTCATTACTAAACTGCAGTAGTTAAGCTTATTGCCCCACCATTCTAATTATCTTATTGTACCTCCACTTTAAAAGGGAAAAAACTCTATTATGTCATCATAAAATTACTCGGTGTTGCAGTAAACTAATCGTGCAAGTGGAAAAATAACCAACTTTACACCTGGCAGCGATGTTGCGATAAATCGTTGCGAAGTTCATGTAGCGTTCTTTTTATACAAGGCTTCCAGAATGAAAAGAAGCAAGCTCCACAAATCAAGTTCTTCCAGGGCTCTTTATCATAGAGCCAAAAACAAATACCTGCTCAACGTTTAGCTTTTTGTTTACTGCCTAAATATTTCTTCGTGGTAAAATATTACGTGGAATAGAACCACAGTGGTGCTGAGATATTTGCAAAACCTAGAACCCTATGTCAGCTTCGAACCCGCGATTACCTTTTCCGTGGCTAACGTGTTATTCACTGTACCACCGAGGCGCTTGGTTTGCCTTTCTCTTTCTCTCTCTTTCTCTTCTCTCTAAAAGTCTCTTGCTCATGAATGATAAGAAATACACTAATAATTACTAAGCGTGTGGCCAATAAACCTTAAAAAAATCAGCATCATACGTGACGACCTAGTTCATCGGCGACATTCCGTCAATATATGACCTGAGCAAGTAGTTTACAACTCTTCTTCAGTGCATGCCCACCGTCAACGAGGTTACATAGCCTTAGAAAATATTACAAGATATACAGTGTTAAAAACACGATTCAGAATTAAAATTTTATTATGCAATTTCTGTTAAGCGTTTCTGAACAATTAATGCTTTAATTTCCTTATCCAAGTCCATCGAATATTCTTTGTTAGAGTCCATTATTTACGTTTTCCTCTAAACTCCATTTCGAAGCGGATAGAAGGCTTTTTTCGTTGGCTGAAAAAAGAAAGTAGTGTCATTTTTGGGACACGAAACTAATTATTAGCCACTAAAGTGCTGGTTGAAAACTTATTTTTTCGTTACAATATAGGAATTTCTGTTCAACTTACTTTTGCCTTAAAACTGTAGATGCATATCAGTAGAAAGGTAACACAAAGCATAAACAGCATTAGTGCGATCATAGGACGCCCTGAAATTTTTCGTAAACAGTACGGATAATGTAAATCTACATGTCTGGAATAATCTGAGAGCATCTAGTAGGCGTAAAAATGCCTGTGGAGAGTTAATTTTCGTGTCCTTAACAAATGAATCTGTAACACATGATGTTGGTACGACCTGTCTCCATGAGTAATTGTGTGGATTTTAGTCTGTTCACCATTTAATTAACACTTTGTTGGTTGGTGAAGGTTTTCTTACTATTCAGTTCTGATATAGCCGGGCTAGGGTCTTTATCTGGTCAGCGTCACTGCACCATGTTGTCGGCCAGTGTTGTGCAGAAGGAAATTTTCCAGCTGGTAACTGATTTTTTCTACAAGATAGCGGCCATCCCTTGTATTAGTTTACTCTTAGCTTGCCTTTCGGATGGAAACATCATCTGTTAAATACTACATAAAAGGCTCTGCTTTTGAAAAGTGAAGGTTTGAGAGTGCATACAGTATTATATGACGAACAACAATAGCAATAATCATACAACTTATTGGCTTGATTGTCTTAAACCAATATTTTTTTGATAGTCTCTGGCAGGAAAAAAAAATTGATATCATTATCTTGTGACGAAATCAGCACAAGTATCTGGGGACGTTTTAGGCTGAACCACGCTGAACGAGTATTCAAGATTTCGTAGAAGGAGAAGGCGACAGATCGTTAGCAGAACCTGCAGAATCGACAAGTGAATACAATCACCTTTGTGGCTGAAATCTCGAGAAGAGAGAGACAAATGGGAAAAGTGTTGGAATCATCACAATACTTAAGTTACGTCATTTAAGTATCAAAATGTTTAAGCAAAATTACCACTCACAGTATGGACACATCGGTGCATTGATGAGATTCGCTTTTTGTACATCATGTGGTAGGTTACAGGACTCGCCTCCCCATCCAGGATAGCATCTAAGGTCCTTTTCATGAATTAATGAATAGAAAAAAGAAAAACGGAAAAAATTGCGAAAATACCTTTTGAAGTGATGCCGTTACAAGAAAAACCGAAACGATAAGCAAAATGTGTTGGAGAAACTATCTTAGATACTTGGTATGAAAATTCTTGTACATTTCTTGGTAAATATGATAGAATCGGACATTGATCTATGGCATCGTTTTCATAACGTTGTCAAAACTAGCGAAATATCCTGGCTTTTTTTTTTGAAAATTTGTGTTGGTAAGCATTCGCCGAAACAAGTTCGAATGCTGTTCTAGTGGTCGCCGATGCTGTCTGTATAAGCCACTGCACAAACCATACCTGTCAACGTCTAATCAGTTCACAAATTTCGGAAAAGAAGATAAACGCATTTGCTTATCAGCTTCCGATGACTAGGCGCGAAGCACTTAGTCACCAATGTTTTAGCATTTCACTATTTTATATAAGGACAAATACGTTTTGGAATAAATGCAAACTACTCAAAGTTAAACGAATTTAGAAAAACTATTGTTTACATAGGGAAGCGTGTAACACATTGGCTAGAGCTTTGCCATACAAACATGGTCATTGGTTTGATGTTGTACCGAGGTAAACCAAGACCTTCATTTTTCCGGGTTCGGCAAACTGCAACAGATTTGCTTGGGAGGATATTAAATACCGGTTCTATGCGTCCGTCAGACCTTGCAAGGGATTTTATAGGCTAAATATGCGTTAGGTTAACTCGGCGATGTTGAATGGAGTATTGTGTATGCTGCATTAATGAGGGATTGATCTCCGCAAAACGCTTCATCCTCTTCGGCTTTACGAATTATGGAAACAATCCCATTAGTCATAGAACTTACACACAACTTTTCCTTCCCATGCCATCCGCCATACATGCTCGTGCATGATCGCATGCCGCATTCTCGGATTTATAACAGAATCGAAATCCTGGAGGTAATATGACGTCGTCCTCACCACGCAATCGAAACGAAGCAGACAATGAACCCTTAAAAAATTGGTGAATAGATAACAACATATTGAGTAATAAATTTAAAATGGATCGAGCACACATAATTCAACGAAATAAGCTGTTTTTGGTTTTTCTAAAATGCGAGAATCACATGCTAGATCACAGATTTCACAGATGGCATGAAAATAACGGACGAGTTTTACTGTCGCCTGGTTGGCTGCAATTGATAATAATCGCACGCTGATAAGGGTTCTAATGCAAAGCTTTGTTATTATTATTGCTCTAAAATATTTTCAAGTCATTTGCATTCTTAAATAATAAGAAAGGAAGATTCAAGGACTTCTTACTTATTGCACCTCGTTTTGTGAATGACTAATTGCACTAACGATGCGAGATGTGTTTAGCCGAGTGAAATCTCTAGCATATGTTGCAAAACAGGTGAAGGAATAAAGTATCGACTAAAAATTTTCCTAAAAAATTTAGAGTAAATGAGAAGAGGAAAGCTTATAAAAGGTTGGGTTGGGAGCTTCTATGAATCTTAAATTCTATTACATTCATACAATCCTGCCAACTATTTATTTTGCAGCTGTTATGAAGTACCATATTGCTTTTAGTGCCTAAGAAGACCTACTCGATCGAAAAGCCGGCAAGATAGAACCCTTCAATGTTTTCGGTTTTATGTTCATAATAACGAAATGTCTCTTTTTTTGGATTTTTTACCAAGAAAAAAAAACACGTGTGAGCACGCATGGCTAATTATCGTCGCTGCTTTTAATAAGATCGAAATTACTTCTAACTCACCACATAGCATTCATAGACACCATCATGATACTTCGTATTATATTGATTGAAAATTAGCGATGATCTGCTGAAAATTTACCCATTGATGTCCTGCTTGCTATCGACATGAAACGATAAGATCGTTTTTGCCCATAAGTTATTTGGAAAGCATAAAAAAATTTCAAAAATTGAGAAAAACTCACACATCTTCTGAAAGAACTACATGCTCTGGATTAAGGTCGTTTCCATTATGTAGCCAACGCACTTTCGGAGTATTAGGTGGCCTTTCACATCCAATTATTACGGTGGAGTTGACTGGCACCGAAATCAGTACTGTGTTTAATGGTGGATCTGAAGATTGTCCTTAAATATGTCTCTGTATTATGGAAGTCAAAACAAATTTCATGGCAAAAACTATTCGGAACAAAAAAAACGTTTTAAAATTTTCTTAAGAAAAAGTCGCTTACCCCGTAATTGCAGAATGTGTTCACTAGCAAAGCACTTTACGGCAAGTAAAATGAAAATAGTGCACATAGATCGGTCGATCATTGAAGTGATAAGAGCAGCTTCGTCTACCTAGTGTTGGTCCTATGAGTTCTTGCTTTTTATAGCGAACGAATTACTCACTTGGTACTATAGACGAATGAAGAAGAAAAAACGAGAACTTATGAAGGGAATAGAGGAACGACAGTGAATAATACTGGAAAATTGTGTGGAATGTCGAGATAATGCGTTGTTAAGAAAACATGACAAAGATTTTGTAGATTTTGTCGGCATTGGTGTAATCAAAACTATAGAAACGTCATAAAAGAGAATAAACAATAAAATGGTTAAGCGAAAAGAGGCTGTAATTCACTAACACAGACGTCTAAAGATAGCCGGAAACGATGACAACAAACATGGAAGCTGACTCACAACGCTCTGCTCCTGGTTTTAAGATCTTCAATGCTCCCACCAATTCCTGAATAATAACCCTCGCTAAATCTTATGCAATAAAAAGTATTAAGGTTTATGAGCGGTTTAGCCGCGGTGAAGTATAGCACTTGAGTACAACTGCAAGTCCTCTTTAAGGAAAGTATTCTATAAGACGAAAGTCTTTACAGTGCCGATTTCACCAAGGTCATCTGTAGAACATCTTCATAATTTTTGCCTTTCATGAAGACTTTTCTGAGTTTAGTTTTAAGCGACGAAACATGGAAATGTGTAGAGCAAAGGTTACAGATGCGCTCTAAACACTACGCACTGGATCGGTCATTGCTGCTAACGGCATTACCGCGTCCAGATTTCGACAAGTCCTTTATCCCTCTGGAGTTCGCAAATTTTCACCATTTTCTGAGAAAGTTAGAGCACTGACTTAGCAAATCGCTAGACCAACCCAAGTTATTACGTAGACAATATATGCATTCAATCACTTCTCTGATGCCACAAATGGTATCGAATGTATGTCACTTCCATGGAACAGCGCATGGCGTATCTTTCATCTTTCTTTGTAAGCTATCCGTTTTTCTTCTGTGTTAATTGAATGAAATAAGAGGTTGGTCCACGTGAACACTGGGTTTGTTGTAATAGAGAGGCTGCGGATTTGCACTATCTGTAATTTCGTAGAATATCAAATCAATTAAGCGGTTACCACAGAAGTATCCAGTCGTCATCGTCATACCTTAGAATGTGACCGAGGCTGTTCTTCACTTTCTGCGAAATTCCTTATTTTTCATGTTCTCTGAATTCTATAAACGCGCGAAAACTGGTCTTCACAGTCGAGTAACTATCGAGCTTCTTTCTGATTTCTTCCCCACACTTGCTTTTCATGGACAGAAATTTCCTTCAACTAATCCCTTAACTTTCTAACCATCATCTCTGCTTTAGTTCCTCTCATAAACATGACAGCGTCATTGTAGGAACTTTCCATGAGTATTAGTTTTTGTAAATGATGTTTACCAATGATGTAGGAGCTCGTATAAATTAGAATAATGGGTATGGATAGCTGCAACGAGTGGGTCTGTATCACCTAATTGACTAGATGTTTATCATGTCCACAGATTATAAAGGTCTTCTCGTTCAACTGTGCACATAGGTGTTTTAGAAAATTTTAGAAAATTTTTATTCATTTTTTAGAAAATTTGCCGTAGTTTTTTTATGACTAAAGGACTTCTGCCTGCGCAGTGGTAGTGATCTCGTTCATTACGCAGACAGCCAATCTATCCAGGAAATGGTTCGACCCCACCTTAACTCCATCTAGCCTCCCATCGATCCACTGTCGGGAGATTGACGCCAAACTTTTCTGGGAAAAGATTACGCCCTTTAATTCACGTGAAAACGTCTTAGTACGGTTACCACAGGAATCCACGAAGAATCGACCCGTCAGCACTCACCGACGTTCGTGACGAAAACGAAGAGCTCCTCAAATTGAAGCCAAAAAAAAGTTCAAAGATCTTTGTGAATGGTAGATTCGAGAAAACGAATTAAATGCGAGTAGAGGTGAGATCCAAGATGTGTGATAAATGTGATGTCTGGAAATGTGATAATAATAAGATAAAAAGGACTTGACGAATTGCTAACACTACAGAATCACAGAAGACGTTCTATCATTCTTTGGGTATCCATGGCATCTATGCCACTATTTATTGCGTTTTACTAAGTCCCATCACATAAAAACATTGCTGCTAGCATTTCGAGTGTTTTGCTGCTTATTCCATTTCTACTTCAGTATTCTCTTGTGTCCACACATTCCGTACATAGCTATAATTTATTACAGCAGTTAAAATTATCAATCAATTGGTCTGTCAAAGTGCCTCCCAATGAAGTCGTTAGGGAAAAAAGTGTTTTACATGTTTCTAAGTGTTCGATTACCTATCGGTGTTTGAAAGAAGTCTAGGAAAAATGGCCTGTACGCCAAGTAAACTATCAGAAAGAAAACAATAGCTATTTGGCTCATGACAGCCACTCGGCATACCTCGTGTTATTCTATATAATTTTGTTAATCATCTGAAGCTTAGAGTGATGTACATAATCTGTGACTGTACGAAGGTCTATAAAAAAAACCTATTATTTTGATTTTGCAGATTCCAGTTGAAAAAAGTTTTCACGGAGTGTTGTTGGCGCGTCGTTTTGATCCGGCCATAATGACTTACCTGTGTTACCAGAGATTTGATTACCTCTCACCTATTATTTCACTACCCGATGCTGAATTTAGAAGCAAGCACCCACAACGAAGCATGGTACTGGGCATGGTTGATTGTTTGTAAAGCAAAGTTTCTCCTGGAATCTTGAATTAACTATTTTAAGCCCCTCCTATACCCACCACAAAAGTAATGGCTGACTTATGTGATTCGGATGAAACTTTTGTGCTTTAATCAGATCTAAGGCAAATTTAAGGTATTTCGAACATTCATATATTTCAGTTTCATCGAGTTTGAGTCGCCTTTCTGGAAATGAGCACTGCACACTCAAACCCAGGAAACTTTTTTCTTTCTTTTCTTATTACGCGTCTTCACGTCCGGTGTGCGGATCCCAACACTTCCCACATTCAATTCGTTTCCTTGCACCCATCGTCCACGAAGATATTCCAACTTTTACGTGTGGCTGCTTGGCGACTTCCATTTTATCTTGAGTGTCATAGAATGCTGGTCGAGCAATTCTCCCTGGAGTCCTGAGATAGCCGGACTGGAGCATTCCCAACTGGATGGCAGAGAGTGATTCTTTCCCCACACAAGTCCGGTGCCAATTTCCCGACCCCGGAGGGGTGAGGGACTTGGTTGCCTGGAGTGGAATCGAGCTGGCTCCATGCTCGTGATGATGGACATCACTACCACTGTACTACCCTCTCCCTAAGCCCGGCCATAGAAAGAGCATTGCCGAAATATTTTTCGATGATATTATCTTGTCGTTATAAGTTTTTCAGCAACTACTCCTGGTTTCTCAGTGAAATTGCGTCTTAAAGAGAGTTTTCTTTAAATTATATTGAGCAATATTAATGTACATTACAAGGCGTTCATGCCACATAGAAGCAGTGTCTTCCTATTCTCCTCTTACCGATGCTCTCAAACTATGAATTTATGGAAGATAAAAAGAGTAGTAGAAATTTGTGTAATCAGAATATCTAAATTCACTTATTAACGGCTAACCTACTACTTTTGGTAAAGCGATAAAGGATAAAGCTCGTGGCGTTTACCAATCCATGAGGGATGCGCCATGCATTCAACTTCACTAAGTATCGTTGGAGGTGATTGAATGCAAATTTGGCCTTTACAATGACTCGCGGTGGTTTAGCGATGTATCGAGCCAGTGCTGCAATCCTCCCAGATAAGTCCGGTACCAATTTG